TATATATATATATATGGAGGTTCACAGTTGTGCAGCAAGGAATCTAGAAGGGTGCTCTAGGCTCTAGGCTTGAGTGCTGCGGGGTTTAAGGGTTCAGGGCGTTCTGCGCTTTAAGGTCAAGGCTTCAGGGTTCACGGCTCTTCATAAAGGTTTGTTTTATGGAGCTGCTAGGGCTTTGGAGGGTTGGGGGGTGACAATGTCGGGTTCATTTGTTCGGGCTTACGATTTAGAGCGTTGAGCTCAGGGCCTTCGAGGATATCATCAACGATGTGGTACGTAATCCGAAGCCCCAAATCCAAGAACTCCAAACCGCCAATACCCTGGAAACACCTCTTCTTCTCAACACTGACAAACCTAACCCTGAACCCCCAACGCCCAAACCCGAACCCCCAAGCCATAAATCCCAAAATTGATCGGAATCCCAGAGCTCTCAAAAGGCGACCTCACCACGACGCATCGGAGCAGACTGCCCCTGCGCGGCGTCGCCGAGCCGGAGGCGGGCAGTGCACGGAGTGTTGAAGGCTTTGGAGCTTTGGATTTGGTTTGTTATGTTTCCCTAACCTCCCAGGTACCTACTATATGGGGCCCTAGGGGCTCTAGTACCCTATATAGTAGGTACCTGAAGGGTTAGGGTTTGTCAAGAGTCCTTGGCATGGCCCAAACGGCTGGGCTTAGGTTTTGGAGCAAGGGCTCTATCCCAGAGATGCCAGCATCTACGGAATATATTGCTAGGCCACAACAAGAACAATGCAATCCAGATGACTTGCGATTCCTTCGGGACGGGGTACTGAGCTGTGGGCCAGAGACGGGACCAGACAGGCAGGAAAAGAAGCCACAATCATGATGATTCACAACCGTGCCCATCATTAATTAATTTGTTGTTAACATGCTGGCTCGCTGCTTTTATGATATTCCTGTCATTGTTTTCAATAGCATGAGTGTATTAATCGTAATATCAAAAACAAAAATTAGCTACGATTATAGTAATAATGGTACTTTAAAATCTCCTGTACCTCAAGAATCCCGAGCCCAAGCCTGCCACGGGTCAGGAGCCATCAGAAAGCGCCCCAAGCATAAATGGGGTTTAGGGTTGTCGGTGTTGGGTTTGGGGATGTTTGGGGTTTTGGATTTAGGAAACAGATCCCTAAATCTCTGAACCCGATGTGGTCTGATGGTTCGTTCCTCCAGGTGTCGACCGCTGTACCCAGGCCTTGGTTTGTGACCTCGCTTTAGGGTTTTGGGGTAAAGGGTTTTTGGTGTCAGGGCTTGGGGGGGTTTGGAGTCCAGAGTTGTCGGGTTTAGCGTGCACAGGGTTTTGAGCTTTGAGGTTGAAAACGTACGGATTTACAAAGGTCGGGTTGCCATCAAGGACGCTGCCAACCTTGGAGCATGTGCATCCTGGCGCACTAATCGTAAACGTCAGGAACTCCGAGTAGTTACTCATCATCCTAAAACCCTTGCTCCGATTTTCGGAGTTCACTATGCACATTCTCCAGTGTAGAACAGTCGTTCTCCGCATTTCAACCTAACCTCCGCGTGCCACCCCGTGATGTAGCCTGCACATGCTCTCACGAAGAACACAGGATCTTAGATCACCGTGCAGGGATGTGTAACATAGACGAATGGTGAACCAGCCGCATCCGTGAACGGACGTCATAACCGTGAGATGTGTTTTTTGTTGTGGTCTCTTGGTGGTCTGTTAAACTGCAGTAGTCTAGATTGGGAACGTAGTGCAAAGCCCAGCAGAGCCGAGCTAGCAGACGGGAGTGAACTCTTCTTGCTCTTGCTGGTTAAGCCCGTTCATGTCCTTTGCTTTTCGCACTTTTCTGGTCCGGGCCTACGTTCCTGGCCGAGTTATGCGGAGTATGCTGTGCTCAATTGCTTGAGTACCTGCTCCCACTCCGTCGTCATGTCTTCTGGTCGGAAGGCCCCTGGATATATGTGTTTGACGTGACGCTCTCCAGACCTTCTTGAAATGGGGCTGTCTCAGGCTCCGCCCAGCCACAGCAGGCGACATGCCGTGGTGACTCGTTGGCAAGAACGAAAGCGAGAACCGACGTGAATTCTCACCCTTGCATCTGGATATGTCGGGGTCGTTGTCTCTGCAATTTCAGGCCTGTGGAGCTGCAGACGGCCAACCCTAAGCACCGAATCTTTGCTATTTAAACCCCCAACTTGGGCCTATGGGCATTCAGTCAAGTCAGACGGAAACCTCACGGCATTGGCATTCCTGATTCGTCGGATACCAGAGCAATTCCGGGCGCAGTATGGGTTTCGGGGTGTTTGGGTTTCGGGTTTACATGGATTTGGGGTTAAAGCTTGAGTTTGAAGTGCGGCTGAGGATCGCACTGACGATTGCATCGATGGTCATGAGCCCTTTTGGGCTCCAGGCAGAGAACTTCCTCGTGGCGGAGGCGAGCCATGCCCTTGCTTTCCCCGGATGCTCTTCCAGGAATGCCAAGCTACTATCATCGCCACCGTCATCATCATCATCATCATCATCATCATCATGATCATGATCATGATCATGATCAGCAGCAGCAGCAGCAGCAGCAGCAGCCGCATTATGTGCTTTATTGCAAAGCCCTTCTAACGCTCAAGAAGCACCAGACCCTCGCACAGGACGACGAGCCTGGCGATGGTCGCCTGGGTTTTGCCCAACTGCGGCCACTGGGGCCTTCAGACTCACAGGCTTGTGCTTCGCTTGCTTTCTAGATCCCTCAGTAGTACGCACTGTAAATGTCATAGAAGCCCCTTGGTTTAGGGAAGAGGTTGGTAGGTTGTAATTTGCTGAGGGGGCTGGATTCTGTGTGCAATGGCCGGAGGATGGTACCCATCTCCAAATAGCAAACCCTCGTGCACGACAGGTGGCGAAAGCGGTAGTTAGTTTAGTTGAGGATGCTGTTTTTGTTGGTACGTAGCTTCCGTGGAGTGACCGGCCAGCATACACGATATTCAGAGAGACTGAGTAACCGAATTTGTCTTGCTGTTATTCGTAAAACTGTACTGAGTCCTGGGTCTTGTGGAAAGTTGGGAAATTCAGGACGAAGTTTCGTAAACTGCAACAACACAAGAATCGAGAAGGTCCTAAAGGTGATTGTCAGGAAATTCAATGTGAGATCGCGCGACGAGGGCGCGAAGAGCACACCAAAGGGCAACATATCCCAAGAAGGCCACAGCCAATGTTGACCGCTGACATGAGCTCGACAGAGCACTTCCACGACTGGATTCGCGATGGCATTCCCTTTGAACGCTACATTGTCCTCCACCACGACATGTATTCCAATCTACAGTGCGGCTAGATGCGTTTACGTGATGATGTAATGACCTTGGGACTTCCGTGTTGTGTTGGTCTGGTCCTACAGCAAGCCTTGTCTGAGGAGCGCGAAAGATCCCTGAATCCTGAGACCCCCGAACGCCATGGCTCCGCGAGCCCTCCACACAGCTCTGAACCAGGGCGAGCCTGCTCCTTTCTTGTTGGCCTCTCTCTACGCCCGAGCCACAGCCGTGTCCCACTGCTTGAGGTCCAGGCTTCAGCTTTAAACAAAAGCCTTCTTTAAACCGAGAGTGCTTGGGGTCTCTGGGTTTGAGATCTTGGTATTATACCGTAGGGCTCCTTCTTCTTATTATTATTATAGTATCAAGGAGCCCCAAACCCTATTATGATGATTAAGGCCCCATTGTTCTGTTACGTCAAAAGCCTCTGAGGTGAAAGAGGAAGCTCGGGGTCAAGGGCTCGGATCCCGCCTGGTGCGGGCACTGCTGGGAAGATCCGAAGAGCCGAGGAAGAGCAGGGATTTTTTGGGTTTTTTACAGAGCTTTCAGGCTTTTTTGGGGCTTTGGGGTTTTCTGGGTTTTGGGAACTTCGAGGCTTCGAGGGTTTGGGGCTTTTAGGGTTTAGAAACGTAGAACCCAGGGTCGAGGGTTGCAACTTGTATAGGGTTGAGAGTTTGAGACCCTATAACCAACTATGCCCAGGCCCTCCGAGTAGTATCCTTATTCCCTTTGTGCTTTGTCAAACTCGGTATTGGGTTTGGGGGTTTTGGTCTAGGCGTTCGGGGTTGAGGGCTTTAAGTGATGCCTGTGGCAGGATTTGCGGTTTTGGGCCGCGTTCGGGCTCTGAACCCTGAAAGCAATTCTTTGGAGGACTGTCTATGCCCTCACTCTCAAGAACAAGCTCGGCTTCTTCGAGCGCCTTCAGTTCAAGGAGCTGTCAGGCCATGGCGTCGGAGTTCACCATGGCATCAAAGCCTCAATAATTAGCACAGGTACCATGATGTTGTAAGTATGCAGTATAGTCATACAGGACCACACGGGGACACTGCTGCCAAAAAATCACACAGATGCGACTTGAGGTTTGCGATTGCAGGCTTGCAACAGATCAGCTTAAGGGTTCAGGCTCTAGCGATTCCGGGTAAAGGGGTTTTGGGGGTTTAGGATTTAAGGGTTCCGTCGGTGCTAGACCTCAATACCCGCCAAGAAGCCACGCGTTCGCGCAAGGCAAGGACCTTTCTCTGCTTCCCACGGAATTGGGGCTGGAGGCCCAGCTGGGCAGGCGTGCCGCGTTCAGGGTTTATGTTTCAGGGTTTAGGGGTTTGGCTCTGTAAGGCTCAGAGGATTGCTCACTAAGGGAGTTTCGGGTTGGGCTTGGGCGTTTCCCAACAACCAGGCCATTCGCAGCATCAGTCGCTGTGGCATGTTGTTGTTGTACTATGGACCGATTAGCGTGAGCTGCTCACAGCCTGCAAGCAGGGTCATCGCTCCCATCGCTGCCGGTGAGCCGCTGGTGGTTCTCCGTTACGAGGGGCCGTAGCTGGCTTTCAAGCAGCCGCATGAATTTGGCGTTGCACCGCCAGCACGGACTTGAGAGTTAGGTACCTGAAGCTCCTTGCCCTAGGCCCTAGACCCCCACGAAGCAAGACTTTATGCCGATGCCGTTGGCCTATAGAGTTCAGGGTTGAAGGATATGCCCGGCAACGGAGGCATGCGCTGTCTGAGCATGCTGTTGAACAGGTCCCTAGAAACTTCTGCCTCAACCAGACGCCACGAGTATATGTGGGCGCTTCTTCAGGTCACGGTCCCTCATGAGGTTCTCATAGCAGAGTGAGGTATGGCATTGTAGCCCCTTCAGTCTGGTCTGGTTCCGGTGCACTCGATTTCGCCCAGCTGGAAAACGAGAGCGGGTTTCTTGAACTGCTGATGACAAGAGGCTGCGCTTGTTTGGGTTCAGTGCAGAGCAGAGACTGCTTTTAGCTAGCATAGCCGATCGACCGTACCAAACGTGCGCACGTGCCTTTGTCTGGGAAGACTGTACATAGTGCATGCACTATCCCGACTCCCAAAACCGTATTATGCCCCCAATCTATCAAACATCCCTGAACTGTTGTCACTTTCTGCAACGGTAAACTCTAGCAGCCTAACCCTCCCTCGATCCCAAAACATGCAATGTTAAAGCGAAACCTACTTGTCCCTAGACCCCGCAATTGAATTCAACCGCTGGACTCGAGAAAAGCAAGTCATAGACCCGAAAGACTCAGGCTCCGCCATCTAGAGAACCTGGATTCAGCGACCGAACAACTCCGGGCGCACCACCCGTGCGCCACACAGACAGAGGGATTCCTTAAGTTTGTGAGGGGGGATTCTGCTGGGTGTTTTTGAAGCTTTGCAGGTGCTCGTTGGGTCTCAAAAGCGGGTAGTGGTGGTGGTCACAGCAGCAGCAGCCGCAGCAGTAGCAGGAGGAGGTGGAGTAGTACAGTAGTAGACGTAGTGGTACTGGTAGTGGACAGTGGTAGTGGTAGCGGTAGTGGAAGTGGTAGTGGTTGTGGTCTGGTAGTGCTAGTAGTAGTAGTAGTCGTCGTCGTCGTCGTCGTAGTAGTAGTAGTAGTAGTGGTAGTAGTGGTAGTAGTGGTAGTAGTACTAGTACTAGTACTAGTACTAGAAGCAGTAACAGACAGCAGGTGTTGTTGTTGTTGGTGGAAGTGGTGGTGGTGATGGTGGTGGTGGTCGTGGTCTTGGTCTGGATGTCGGCATTGGTGTTGTGACCATAGTAGTAGTCGTCGTGGTCGTGGTGTTGTTGGTGGTGGTGTTGTATTGTAGCACGTCGTAAACATCACCGACAGGGTATGTTGTGGTGCTGCATCTACTTGTCATTCACGGCTCAAGGCTTCACGCCCCGAAGCCCAGAGCGCAAAACCCTCAGCCGTCACTCCTTTAACCCTTTCTGAATCATCCTGGGACTTATCAAGTCGGACGGTTTTGGGGACATACCACACTTGCGGGGCATATCCTAACTACAACTCTTCTTCTGACTACAAAACCCCTGAACCCTTAGCCTCAAAAGTCGACCCAAGACCCTGATTCCTGCAGCATGAAAGCCATGGAGTCTGCAGAGAGAGGGCCAGATGCCAAGGGCACGGAGGCAGGGAGCAGTCTTGGTTTACTATTTGGGGTTTTAGGCTTGATAGGCTTGTCTTCCATTCCTGGCAGGATTCCAGCCATCTCGTCGTATGCTAGAACTTGTATGCTGAATCTCAGCGCGCACCTCGGACATGGCTACCGAGGTGGTCCGCCTTGGCATGTGTGTGTGTGTGTGTGTGTCTTTGGTATATATCTAGAGTCTGTATATATTATATGTTTATATTCATTATTAGTAGTAGAGTTATTATTCTTGTTATTATGCATATATGTACAGACACAGTGTGTGTGTGTGTGTGCGTGTGTTTGTTTGTCTGCCTGTGTCTGGTCTCTCTGCTTGTATGTGTGTTACTATGTTTGTCCCCTTTTTTGTCGTGTTTGGTTATGTTACGCCATGGGAGGTTATGTTTTGGAGTGGTCTGGTATGTTTTGGGCTGCACTGAATCATGTTATGTTATGTTTTAGTAGGGCTGTTCTGGCTGTGTCATGTTATCGTGTGTGACGCTGTTTAACCATGTTATGCCAGTTCATATTATGTTCTGTTATGTTATGCAATGTTATGCAATGTTATGCGCTGTTATGTTATGTTATGTTATGTTATGTTGTGTTATGTTATGTTATGTTATGTTATGTTATGTTATGTTATGTTATGTTATGTTATGTTATGTTATGTTATGTTGTGTGGTGTTGACGTACACCACCATTAATTTGGACCAGACGTGTCTGTCTGTCTGTCTGTCTGTCTGTCTGTCTGTCTGTCTGTCTGTCTGTCTGTCTGTCTGTATGTGTGTATTTATGTATGTATGTATGCATGTATGTATGTATGTATGTATGTGCGAATGAATGAATGAATTAATGAATGAATGAATGAATGAATGAATGAATGAATGAACGAGTGAATCACTGAGTGACTGGCTGACTGACTGACTGCCTGACTGATTGAATGAAGAAATGAATTTTATGAATGCATGCATGCATGCGTGAATGAATGCAGGTGTGTAAATATAAGCCATACCAGCTCGCACTCGCTTTCGCTCTGTCTCCATGTCTCTTCCTCCTTGTTCTCTCGCTCTCTCTCTCCCTCTCTCTATCAATATAAGATACACACACACACACGCAGAACACACGCTGTTCAGGTCAAGTGGTGTATACCCTTTTTGTCATTTCGTTTCGGGGTTCCCCCTTAAAATTGAACAAGTGAGGAACACGGGAATCCTTTAGTTTAAGGGGTTACATAAGGGCCTGAATAAGTATCAACACCTTTCCTTAGTTTTCCTGTGTAGTTTTATGCGTTATAATATCCCAAATCATGCTCTAAATTCTTAAAGGCCGCCACATTACTTGAGAGCTCGAGCCAAGAGGGACCATCTTGTCTCGGCATTTCAATTCGAACCCTATCCCCTCTACCTACTGCAGAAGGATTCCTAGTTCGTTTTACAGGGGTTTGTAACTGTATGAGGGCTTTTAGAAGGGTTCTAGAAGAAGGTAAGATCATGTTTTAGGCTTGAGGGTTTTATTTTTTAATGTGTTCATGTCTTAGGGTTTTAGGGCTTGGGGTTTAGTCCACAACTAACCCCACCTCCTTCAAAATCGATGCCCCTAGCTCGTGGTGAAGTTTAGGGTCACAGAGATTCCGCGGGGTTGTGCAAAGGATATTAGTTTAAGCTACCTTGCCAAACTGAGATCCTGTTTTTTGCTACGCAAGCGTGTACCCTGATTTTTGCAACTCAGATTAAGTTCCAAAGCCTCCGGCGTAAACGCTCAGTCCACAAAGAATCACGATGAAACCCTATTAAATTGCGGAATTTCCGTTACAAGAACCCAGATTCAACCCTGTTGACACTTCGTAGGTGCACGGTTTGGGTGAGCCGCCTCTTGGCCAGGAATTGCGACGATTCATTTGAGGGTTTGTGGTTGTTCCACTACCGAGACCATCAACCCGAGTTCCGTGTTTTGGTTACCTTCTTTTCTTACAGTTGGACCCCTAGTTGGCCTGGAGTGGTTTATGCAAAATGCCACGAGAATTGAGGGTCGAGGTTTTTTAGCCGTTCCTTATCATGACTATTTAAACGAGGCTCCTGTACAGGGGCCCAGCAATTGGGTAGATTGAAGATCCATCTCCATGTCCTCCGCTCGGCGTTGTGGGAACTTTGTGCAAGGGATCAGTTTGCCTCAGTCGCTATTTCGTCGACGGCGAAGACGACGATGACTTTCAACATTACACCAACTGGATGAATATTTGTCGTGGTTACCGAAGCTGCGATGTTGCGATGACTGTTGTAATGACCATCACTACTCAAACTGCCGTCTTCTACTGCGACTGTTGTTGTTTTTTCCGTTATTCCTGACAGCGCAGTGGCCTCAAACTCCTGCTGCTAACAAAGGCGTGCAGATAGGAAGCCTCATGCAGGTCCTAATGTTCCTTTGGCCAGTGCACACCTGCAACTTCGTGTACCCGTAGAGCATGGTCTATAGTGCACTTCACACATCATCCTTGAAAGCCCCAAACCCTACCGTGTGGATCCCAGCTGTACATCACCTTCCCTTGCTCTGCACACACCTCGAAGCACCACGCCCCCCAGACCCTCTCAAACCCCCTCAAAGCCCTTCGAACCCCTAAAACTGAACATTCTAAACTCCGAAACCCCTAAGCTTTGACGCTCTCCATCCTATGTGAGGCAATACCCTGGAGAAGTCTCCGAAGATCTCGTGGATGTCTTGCGCCGGGATCTGAGGGTTTGCTTGTACTTTCTGCATGGCTGAAGCGCGAGCAGTCTCTTCCCGACCCGGCCTGCAGGTGAGATCAGTGCTTCTGCAGAAACCGCCGATGCAGATGCCAAGACGCTAAGCTGGAAACAGGCATTGCGGCATTGTTGTATAGATTCAGACCCGATACATTCCCTTTAAATTAAAACCGTGAGAAAACCCGGTCAAACCCACGAATCCCTAGCTTACTCCCCAAATTCTTAAATCCTGAGCGATAGGGTCGTCATCAGGATGCTGCAGTGGGCAGCCGCCGGGGCCGGAGGCAGTGACAAGTGACAGGACATGTCAGGGTTGGGGTTCAGGCTTCAGCATGTAACGCTTACAGTATGGTTCAGGGATTAATTGCAGAGTTCAGTGTTTGGTTCCGGAAAATGTTTATGATGGCCAAGAGAGGCGTTTTCCCAAACCGAGATTCTTTCAAATTCATGGACGCAAGGGCGCGGACACGGATATCTCCGACTCCGACTATTTAACCGCGTGTAAAGCCTATGAACTCTAGCTTGTTTTTACATGCGTGGTGTACCGGTCTCGATTTCACCTGTGGAAAAACGCCCCTGCTTAAGGATTTGGCAGAGTTGGGAGGCCTAGGGTTTAGCGGGCAAGACTTAGCTTGGATGCTTCGTCTGTATAGCGCATGTGGAGAGGAAGTGTTTTGGGTTCTGCGGCCTCGTCGACGAGTGTGTGCCATGTCACCTTGTGAGGCTTGTCACACCGTAATCTTCAGATGTTACAGTATGTGCTCAACCCTGATCAGGTGTACTCCCTATAACTCTATGTCCCGGATGACCTAAATCCTTGAACCGAGACTTCCGCCTTCTCAACTCGGGCTGTGATCTGCTTTTGAAAGGCTCCGTCTCAGCAACAGATTCGAAGTTGCTCCTCAAGAAGGTGGGCCGAGTCTGGCAGACACTAGTCATGTCAAGCTTGAATCGCTGGGAAGTCGGATTCGCATCGTCATTGCTGTCGTGTTTGCCGTTGTAGTTCGACTCGAGACGCGGGCGACGCGGGTGGTCATGGTGGGGGTGGTGGCGGTGGTGGCGGTGGTGGCGGTGGTGGTGGTGGCGGCGGTGGTGGTGGTGGCGGCGGTGGTGGTGGCGGTGGTGTGGAATCCATTATCCTGCTCGTAATGTAAGTTTATTTCGTTGTTTATTGATGCGCCTGGCTGTTACTTGCCATCAGTAGTTGCTCGTATTGCCGCACCACCGAAATCCCAAGTGCTACGTGACATTAATTATCAGTCTTTGCCTCAATGTGTCCTTCAGGTTCACACAAAGTTGGCACGCAAGCTGCGTTCCAGCGGATATGGCACCAACCGGAACTTCCCGGAGGTGGGTCATCGAACATGTGGGTTGGGGCCTTCGTTGCTAGCATCCCCATAATGCCATCGTGATTCCTGAGGAACCCAACATACACA